TCAGGTGATCATAAAAGTTTGTGTGGTTTTCACTTTGCCTCACTGCGTTAACTTCTTGTGATTGGTAAAGACTAGGCAAATTTGCCTCATCGTTTACATGCACTAGGAAGTGTCAAGTGATTTGGTCTGTCTCTGCTGGTATATTTACTACTGTGACCTCCATCACCTTCATCCTTCTTCCGACCCACACCTCAGAACACTGAATGTCTGTCCGACATGAAAAGCGCGGTTTGAGTCTGTCTGCCTTGCAAACAAATGAGATTCAACCTGGTTCCAAGACATGCAGAAATCTCTCGTCAAGTTTTGTGTATAGCACATGCAAAGATGTAGCAACAGAGATGCTTGAAAAGGTGATTCTGGTAATGTTGTAGACAAAGTCACATTGGTAATTGGGAGGATAGGTAGATTGGTAGATTGGTAGGTGGGTAGGCAGATGGATGGGTAGGTGGGTAGGAAGAGCAATGGAATACATTGAGGGAGACCTTCTACCCTTGATGATGGGGAATTACACGTCAGTGTTGAGCAGAACAAATACGGATCGACATGTCAAGTGTAACACTGAGTCATGTTTGACGTGGACAATGGTGATGGCGATGCTGGTGATGCTGATGAAGTAGTTAATGAATGCCTACATCAGGTGGGAATGGGAGTGGGGAGTGGTGGAAGCCACTGAAACAATCGCGTCCCACGTACACACCCCCGCACAGGAGACATGTGTTAGCAGATGACTGCCACTAAACTTGCAAGACTGCCAACTACTGCCACCTTCAGCGCCTTCACGTGTGTCAAGAAGGCAGTGTGTATTGTGAATGGTTCGCTGACTGACTTGGTGGTGATGTGAAATGGTGCTGCTCTATTCTCCCAATACTAGATGGTGGGAGGAACCAATCATTGTCTGTTCTCAAACGATGCATGCCTCACCCACCATATACTTGCAGGTTGACACCTCATGTCCAGATAACCATACTCGCATTGTGTATGTGTCTGTGTGTGGTGGTGTGCGGAGGCAGTTGTTCACTTGGTGGAGACCAAACGGCAGTCAGAGCTGAGACATCTCCACTCATTTGGCAACTCGGAGACGTACAACAACAGTTTCTCCTTCTTCTTCTTCTTCTTCTTCTTCTTCTTCTTCTTCTTCTTCTTCTTCTCATTCTCCTCCTTCTAATCATCCTCCTCCTCCCTTTCCTTTTCCTTCTTCTTTCTCTTCCGCCTCACTATCTGCTTTTCCCTTTTAAGTGGGAGTGAGGACTGGTGAGTAGTAGGGAGAAAGTGGTCTTCCTAATCCTACAATATGAAGCTAGCAGCCATGGAGGGAGGAAAGTGGGTGGTGCCTTGACTCTCTCTCATCTCCAGTGTCAGCGTGCATAATTGTCTGATGGCATTTCGGTGTTGAGAGTGGAGGTGATTAGCATGTGTTCTTGGTCTCAGCATCACTGTTAGACAATCGCGTGATCAGGAGGACGAGAGAGGATGGAGAGTTATGATTTGGGTGTAGAATTGCAAAGTGGGTGACTGGATGTGGGCTGTTTGTCTCTCCAGATGAC